TCTTTAAAATCATTGGACCAGCTCTAAAGGTCGTTGAGCATCCCTAAAGATCATTCGTCATCATTGGTTCGAGCTCCCTCAGGATTTGACCTGTATAACAATGTTGCGCCAACATACTCGATCCCTGGCTGCTTGGCCCAAATTCCCCAAGCGTTCCACATTTCCTAGATCTTGCTTTACTTGGTCCAACCACCTTACACGCTGCGCTCCTCCGCGTCTTGTTCCAGCCGGATTTGATGTAAACACAATTTTTGCGGGATTATTATCCAGCATTCTTACAACGTGTCCCGCCCATTGTACCCTTCCAGCTTTAGCTACTTTCTGGATACTGGGTACTTGTATATTGGGCATATTACCAACCGGTGGAAACTAACGATTTTGAATTAACTCACTACTTGACTAGCCTATTGGTCCGTTGCCCCGTAACGTGGGTAGATCACCTGTTCGTGGTACGATACGGGATGTAAGATCTACCACCGATTCCTAGTCCTGACTACTTCAAACTAGGGGAACAGGATTTTTCAGTAATCCAAGGAACACATCTTAGTCCTTGTTACTTTTCATGCCTTGTTGATAGTGACAAGACTCGGCTGTCACAAGGAAAACAAGGAAAAAATGAGTTAGTTACTCGTCATCTATTTGATTCCTAATCTTCTATTCGTTGTGCCCTAGTTTGAGTTGGTTAAGACTAGGGTTCTGATGCATGGTCATTATCGGTGTCATTCCTTAATTTTGTTGCTAAGGAATCTGACTGACAAATCAAGAACAACATGTGAAAAGGGCATACAAGTTTTTTGTAAACAAACCTTATTATCCCCTTTTCTCGCCACCCATATGACACCAACGCAAACCTTTAACATCACCGGGTAGGGGAAACTTTCCCCTTCCCGATGAAATTGCTGGTTTGCGTGGGCGACCCTCGGTTGGCGAGAAAAGGGCCTACAAAGGTTTGTTTACAAAAAGCTTGTATGCCCTTTTCACATGTGGCTCTTGAAATGGGCGCGCCTTTGGAGGGTGTTTCAACACTCCGAAGGGTATAAATAGCGGGACCTTTCAATTAGAGTCGGATCCTTGCGATAAATGCAAGAATGACAACTGTAAAAAAATCGAATACTGTATCATTTCTCAATAGTAATGAAGTAATACGACATGCACTAAACTAAGGACACGGGATATACTACAATAGATGAAATTACTGGTCGCAGTGGTGTTAGGTCCCGAACAGAGGAAAAAAAAAGCCTATTGGTCCCAAGCAAATCGATTAACTGGGATACTCCAGTCAAAATTCTAGTACTACACTATGTTTGTTTTGATTCGCTTTGAAAGTTTGTCTGATAAAATGAGAGTTTCATGGATTTTCTTATGTTTCGAGGGGTGCATCGATTAGCTTGGGACCGAAGATAGTACTAGACCTGAGCCAAAAAGTTGAGCACTTTTCTTCGAGACCTTCTGATCTTAGAGTTACCTCTATGATATTACTCCCTCTTTCCACTGCTGCGGTAACTGTTTCGTATCCCAGATCCTGACTATCAGTCGGTGAAGATATGTTGCCAACTTTTCCGGGCCCATTTATTAAGTTCCGCTCCGATACCATCATAGAGGTAACTCTAAGACTAGTAGGTCCCGAAGAAACGTGCTCAACTGTTTGTCTCAGCTCTGGTACTATTTTCGGTCCCAAGTTTATCGATGCACCCCTCGAAACATAGAACAATCCATGAACCCTTATTTAATCTGTCAAACTTTCATATCGAATCAGAACAAACATTGTGTAGTACTAGAATTTTGACTATAATGGGGTACGTTAATCGATTTGCTAGGGACCAATAGGCTAGTCAAGTAGTGAGTCAATTTAAAATCGTTAGTTTCCACCGGTTGATACCATCGTTCCCAGCTGCCTTGTTGTTCTTTAGCTGTTAGATAGCATCCTTAACTTCACTTATTGTGGGAGTTGTTACTTGTACTACGTCCGCCACACCGATGAAGCCGTTCATCCTGCTGTCTTGGCTCTCCGCCTCTGTGCCATTAAGGTGTTCATCGTAGTGCTGCTTCCACCTTTCGATCACTTCACGTTCGTCCTTTAAGATACCTCCATCTTAATCCCGACTCATTTCGGCTCACGGCACAAAGCCTTTGCGGAATCCGTTGAATTTCTTGTAGAACTTGCGGGTCTGTGAACTATACAGCTGTTCCATTTCTTCGCACTCTGCCTCTTCCAGGTGACGCTTCTTATCCCGGAGAAGGTTAGTTTGCTGTCTTCGCTTCTGTTCATATCCAGTGCTGTGGTCGTGGGTAGTCGCGGGTAGTCGACGACTACTTAGCTCCAAACCGAAAAAAAAAAGTTTACAGAATAGGGGACATGGATGTAATGTCGGCCTAAATACCCCTAACTTAAATGCCCCTAACTTAGTCCCATACATAAATTCAGAAATCGACTAAATATTCAAATGCGAACAAAAAATATTCATTCGCACCTTCCCAATAACGCGGGCCCAATAGCAGATTTTTAGCGATGGGCCCAATCTTAGATCCATAGGCCAACATTGGAGCCATTTTCCTTGGGTAAAAAAGAGCAATCCAATCCAATAACTACCCGAGCAAAGTCGGTTAACAAAATGAAAGCAAATCGATATTAAAGTGTGCAGTTCCTATCATAATGAAAACTCATTTTGATTTCAAATGTTGCGACATAAGTCTGATATCATATTGTGCTTTCAATATGCAGTCAAGACGTTTTAAATGAAAGCAAATTTAATTGAAATTCATCTGTCGTTGAACTAATGATAATCGTTTATCTGATTTGTTTAACACATTTTAGGTCATTCGTGACTTGCCCGCGGTGAGATTGGAGCCTAAGTCTTTCAGCTTGAGAAACATGAATGGTAACCATTTACTCTAGGCCCGTATTCAGTTAAACATTATGAATGCAAAATCAGTAATCAAATTGATTTCATTGAAAGCAGGATTAGTTTTCCGTTTGCTTCAACAGTGTAAAATTTTGCACTCATTTTTGCTGTGTTAACCGTTAAGTCAACCAAAATGAGATCAACTGGAGTATTCAAAATAAGTTACATCATAACAGCAAATTTTGATTTCAATTTGATGTTCAGCTTTGCTCGGGTAGGGTCTCTATTTTTTTTTTCTTTGATTTGTTTTCCGTTGATCTTGTTCTCCGTACTGAGTACCAATGCTACCGATAGCAGCGCCGGTGGTGTAGTAGTAAGCGTAGTTAGCTTTCACCCCAGCAGGACTGAGTGCAATACCAGTCAGCGCCACCGGGATGTTCTGAGGCATAACATCTCTGATCACGCCTTCCTTCGGAAGGGGAGTAAAGCCGTTGGTCCCCGGTTCATGAGTTGATGGGTCGATAGGTAGGGTCCAGGTGTGGGAGCTGCAACCCAGGCCTTTTGGGCTAAGAGGCAATCACGCTTACCACTACACCACCGGCGCCGCTGCAGCATCTCTAATATACATGTGTGCAAAAGGCACACGCGGAGTCACTTTTTTTTACGTTAGATAGGCCAAAGAAAATGTCTATGGCGTTTCAATGGATAATATTTAAGCTCAAGAAATCCCGTAGGCCAAGTTGACCCCACAGAAGCAGTTTTGCATTTTCAACCATAAACGAATATTCCGTTTGGTGCTAAACTACTCTAGATTAAAGAATACTAAGTGCGGGTTGTGCTTAATAGGCCGGGAATGGGGTAGTTAACCCTATTCAAAATAATTAAAATTGTTCAATTTGAAGTGACTAGCGCTCCTGAAAAAGTGTTAAAGTTGACCCACATTTTGTACCTCAAAGCTCTGAGCGAAAGAGGGAAGTTTGAACCCTACCTCCCGCCCTTGCTATGCCAGTGAAATTAACACAAACGAATTTATAAAACCATTACAGTCACATCTTTGCTTGATTTTTTATTTAAACAGGACTTTTATGCGTTAAGTTAAGTCAATCAAGGAAATGCACTTTTGAGCTAAGATCCAGGTCAATTATAAAAAAAAAATATTTTGTCGCGTCCATCTACGAGTTGCATGAAACTTTTCATAATTGTTTGTTAAGGGCAATCATTCACATATTTGCTGAAATTCAACCATTAGGGATCTTGTAATATTTTTCAAAATAGCGTCTTTAACATTTTTCAGCAAATTGTAGCACGTAAACGTCTATATTATTGTTTTCTGTGTTTTAACCATTTTAGTAAAGTTATACGATTTTTATCAAATTTAAAGTGTTCATGGCTTTGCACAAAAGTATGCATTTTGTATGAGCTTTAAAAAAAAAATCCATTTCAGTGCCAACATTTCAAAGGGGCGTGATTGCTTTAGCAAACAATGGCTTTAACTATCGATTTATCGCAAATAAAAGCCCATCCGTCCAAATTAACAATGCTAGCTGGTAAAGAAAACATTCCTCTACCTGATGGTGTCATGATTCTTCATGAGTAAAGTTTTATTCACGAGAAATCGACGGCTAAAACCATTGTATACTAATACAATTACGCCCCTTTGAAATGTTGACACTGATTTGTTCAATGTCATTTTTAAATTTTAAAGTTTTTAAAAAATTGCTTAAAAACTATTGTGGTTTTCAGGAAAGACATTATGTTTCTCTACAACGTTGTCTCAGACGTCATTTCGATCGTCAGTGACGTTTACGGGCTACAATATAATGAAAAATATCAGTCGCCGTTTAGGAAAAAATCACTAGATTCAAAATGGCTGAGTTTTTTCCATAACAAACAATTATGCAAAGTTTCATCCAAATCGGAGAAAGTCGAGTTTATCCGATTTGTCATTTGGCGTGGAACTGCTCTATTTGGGTACCATTCGAACTGAAAAACCTGAACCTGAATCGCTGAATTATGTTTGTCTTGCGTGACTTCCGTCGTAGGATTTCTTATAAATGCAAAATATGTTTCTCATTTTCCCGTACCTCCGGCCAAAAACAAACGACACGCAGATCAATAAATTAAAAACACTTTATTGAACAATCCAACATCATTCCAACTACCACTGATGGCGGCTCTCGAGACGGACGCTCGTGTGCTTAATCAACAAACGCCGGGCTTTCGGATTTGAACTCCTGAAAAAATAAAAGAAGAAAAAACCACAATCAATGATAAGGCTGCAACCCATCCGGTCAATCGCAACGTTGATTTCACTTACTGGGCCTTGCGCCGCACCGGTTCGCACACTCCAGCTTGTAAACGTTGTTATAGGTGGTGTGGTCCGTTCCGCAGACCGGATTGTAGTGGCTCAGCGTCAGGCAGTTGTTCAAGCAGATATAAAATTCACGTGACCTAGATGGCTTCCTGGCTTCCAGCGGCGGTGGCTGTTGGTTCTGGGGACGCGTCACCCGCACCGTCGTCGTCACATCGTTGAATCCCTCGGTCAGGAAAGTCGTTCGCACCGGTTGGTTGGTGCTGCCGAACTGCGATGGCCGATTTCGGACTGTAATTGATGGAAGAGTTAAATCGAAAAAAAAGTTGCAGGATTTGGAAACCTTTCGGTCATTATTTCTTACTGAATTTCTGGCTCGGTGGAAAATAGGTTGTGAAAGGGTTGCGATTCGATTGCTGTCGCTTGATGCGTCGTGCTTCGGATATGCTCACCGAAAGTATCAGTGCTGTGGGAGAAAATTGGAAAGAAGAAATCGATCAATTAGTTTAATTCCGTTACAGTGCAAAATGGGGTTTATTTAATTAGCTCAGACTTTACTTTGACTTCTACATTCGTGCTATCAATCAATGTAATTACTTGATAATTTCAATAAATAGGTACTCAAGGTTGTATTAGAGTTTGTCTGTCCTATTTTTATCTTTCTATTGCGATCACTTCAAAACATTTTCCATTCCAGCGCCTTACTCATCTGCTTCTAAAATGCCAGCAATGGCATTTGCTTATGGTGATTTTCCTGATGTAATCGGTTACTGCTGACACTACGATTTATAATAACCTAGTTTTTTTTCGAATTGATTTGTCCTTCTTTGCTGTAGTCTTTTTTCATCCATGTCCGTGATGCACCAGTGGAGCTATTGGAGCCTGTACCGCTCGTATACGTTACGTTCTGTAGAATCTTCATAGGTTCGTACTGGCTTGGTAAACCCATTAGAAGAATCAGCGACAGCCACTCATCGTTCAGCTTGAATCCTATTCCTTTTTTGCAGGAAATCTTCAGAATCGTCATCAATCTTCTTTCTATCTACTCAGCGTGCGCGCTAACCACAGCAAAGCACAACTTTTCCTGCATCGTAGATAGAGTCACCACCCTCGCGTTCCTTCACGAATCATTGTTGCACTTTCAAGGGAAAAAATCAACACAACTGACAACCGCAGCATGCAATTAAAGCTGGTAATCAGACGCCAAATGCTAATCCGCTTGCGGCTTGATTCCCTTTTGCGCTTCCATTCCACTTGTCTGGTCTTTCGAGCCATCTTCGATATTGTCTTCTGTACGTCGAGTTCGTGATATCAATTCTTCCGGATTTCATCTGTCTTTAGAATACTCAAACCGTCAGAAAAAATCACTACCTCTCGAAATAACAGCCTAATCCTAATATGCTTGTTTCAGTCGGAACATAACCGCCGGACAATACTACAGGTTCCATGATTCACTGCTTTCTGAATGCTGTTCAGTTCTCTTCGTAATACCAACTCTTCAAGAAAACGTATAAGGGTACAGGGAACCATTCCGGTCGCCGAGATTACTACCGGAGCTATACGCACATCCTCCAGGTGCCACAACTGCTTCAACTCCTCCACCATATCGTGGTACTTCAATATCTTGGTCGAGAACGTTGACTGAACATTGCGATCTAACGGTACAGCGATATCGATGAGGGTTACCGGGTTCATCCTTTTGTCGTATATCACAACATCAGTGCGATTGGTATGATTGTGGACATCCGTAATGATCTCGCGATCCCAGTGCAGCTTTATGTAACTATTTTCCTGTACCGGGTCTGGCAGGTACTTGTAGTAGGGTACTTAAAGGGTGATACGGTCAAAATTTGGTCAAGGGAAAACGCGTGTAAATCGGTGAAATCGTTTATTTAAAAAATCAAATTAAATTTCTTTTTCAAGTTCAATTAGTATAAAATTCAGGAAAAATATTCAGTTAGGCTTCCGCTTTTCCAAATCCGAATTGCCGGGCCTTACGCTTGACCCCTGCCATCAGATTTTGTACAGCCACCTTGTCCACCTTCTTCGCCGCAGAAAGCCAGTTTGCCTTGAACTGCTGCTCGCCCTTAGCAGTTTTTTTGGTCTTCTTTAGGTTCCGCTTGACAATAGCCCAGTATTTCTCAATTGGGCGGAGCTCTGGCGTGTTGGGAGGGTTCTTGTCCTCGGGAACCACCTGCACGTTGTTGGCGGCGTACCACTCCATGGCCTTTTTACCGTAATGGCAAGATGCCAAATCCGGCCAAAACAGTACGGAACAACCGTGTTTCTTCAGGAAAGGCAGCAGACGTTTATTCAAACACTCTTTCACGTAAATTTCTTGGTTGACAGTCCCGGAAGCTATGAAAATGCTGCTTTTCAAGCCACAGGTACAGATGGCTTGCCAAACCAGATATTTCTTTGTGAACTTTGACAGTTTCATGTGCTTGAAAACATCTGCTACCTTTCCCCTTCCTTTTGCCGTATAAAACTCCTGTCCCGGAAGCTGCTTGTAGTCGGCTTTGACGTAGGTTTCGTCGTCCATTACCACGCAGTCAAACTTCGTCAGCATCGTCGTGTACAGCCTCCGGGATCGCGCTTTGGCCGTCGTATTTTGTTTATCATCGCGATTTGGAGTCACTACCTTCTTGTAAGTCGATAGTCCGGCTCGTTTTTTGGCTCGATGCACGGTTGTAGACGATACACCCAGCTTATTTGCGGCATCTCGGAGAGAGAGGTTAGGGTTTCGCTTGAAACTACCGGCAACTCTCTTTGTCGTCTCAGCGGCTTCCGGTTTTCGATTTCCCCCCGATCCAGACTTCCTGGCTGTCGACAAATGTTCCCCAAACAATTTAATTACATTTGTAACGGTTGATTTGGCAACTTTTAGCGATTTTGCCAACTTTGCGTGCGAGTAGCTCGGATTTTCGCGATGCGCGAGCAAAATTTTGATACGCTGCTCTTCTTGCTTGGACGGCATTTTGACAACTGAAGAGTGAATTCCAAAATCAAAATAGGAGCAACATTCTACACACACACACCTTCAAAATGAGGGGTGTTCAGGTTTTTTAAATGCAAAATTGAAAGAAATACGTCAAGTTGATATTGACCAAATTTTGACCGTATCACCCTTTACTGGTTCACCAAGTTGTGCTTCAGTGCAAGTTGTTGATGCAAAATCTTAGCGACATCGTTGTGACGACCGAGATACGCTACTTCTGCCAAAGCTGTTTGATTGTCTCCCCTACTGTAGTGCACTTTCTACACTGGTCTTCTCCTTCTTCGTGCAATATGTAGCTACGGTAGATCTTCGTCGCAATAACCCGATCCTGGATTCTACCAATGAAACCTTCAGTCTCTGAGAAGAATTCACCTCGCACCAGCGTCGTATTCGACTCCACTTTGTCGACATGCGCTTGTTCCATCTGATGGGAATTCTTCAGCTTCAACGATGCGACTTTATCTTCGGCAGTTTTTAAGTCGCAATTCAACTGGTAGTCTTCCTGCACCAGATGCAGGGCGCTGAACCTGTGGTCTGCCTCACAAACAGCACGGTAGACCACTTTTTTTTTTTTTTTCCTTTGGTTTGTTTTTTTCCGTCGATCTTGTTTTCCGTGCTGAGTACCAATGCTACCGACGTACCAGGAAGGCAGCTTCTACACCTGGACCCTACCTATCGACCCATCAACTCATGAACCGGGGACCAACGGCTTTACTTCCCATCCGAAGGAAGGCGTGATCAGAGATGTTATGCCTCAGAACATCCCGGCGGCGCCGACTGGTATTGAACCCAGGCCTGTTGGGGTGAGAGGTAATCACGCTTACCACCACACCACTGGTGCCGTTGGTAGACTACTTGACGGTACTGACTTTCTACGAGGTACCTCCGCAACTGCTGAATCTGGGAAATACATAGCGCTTGGATATCAGTGATGCCTGTACCTTATCGAAGTCTGTTTTGGTCCACTTTTTCACCCCAAAGATGTAAGTCAACAGGGGCACGGCAAACGTGTTTATCGCCTTTATCTTGTTGCCGGCCCACAGGAACGACCTCAGAACATAATTGATTCGATACAAGAACTTTTCCTGCAGCTCCTTCTTGATCGTTGTCTGGTGAATCCCTTTCAGTTGGAACCCTAGCTACTTGTAGGTTTAGCCTTCAACCATGTTCCGAATTTCCTCCTATTAGTTCATGCGGAAACTGCCAGTATACACTACTTGACCCCGACAGATGTTGACATTATTTGACTCCAAACTCCATCCGGATGTCATTACTGAACACCGTTACAAGATACAAGAGACGGTGCAGCTTCTCCACTGTTCCCGCAAACAGCTTCAAGTCGTCCATGTAGAAGGTGTATGAGTAACATTTGTGCTTCTTCCTCCACATTTGGTATGGATGGTACCATAGTTGCATTGGTTGAGTGCTCTGCTCAAGGGATTCATCGCAAGGCAGAACCACAGAGGACTAAAGGTAGGCCTTGGACAATCCCACTTCTTATGCTGAGAGTTCTGGACCGTAACACCACGGCTCTGTCAGTAACGTGAAGAGATGTACTCCACATTCCTATTGCGTGCTGCATAAGGTTGATGACTTCACCGTCCACCTTGCAGACCTTCAGAAGGTACGAATGCAGTACTGAGTCGTACGCCTTCTTGTAGTCGATGTACGCCATGCTCAGGTTTCTCTGTTTCTGGCTCGCCTGACTGGCAATAACTGCATCGATGATGACCTGATAGGCTTCCAAAAAGTACAGCCTCCTCACGACAGTTGGTTTATATCTGAATTGACTGTTGCTTTGTGTGCTTTACAACCGCTTGCTACCGTACGTTCAGATCTGAATTCGAAGTGTATTGGTAACAGCGCACGCACCAACGAATGAAAGCTGTATTATGTGGACCCTACACGATTGCTTGTATTGACAATAATCCTATTGTCAATGCATTCTATATTGACGTCAATGTATCGAGATTGACAATATTTCTGAATTCACATCATCAATATTATTGTCAATAATTCCCCTTCGCGTCAATATATTGATGCGTGTGGGGTTTGCTTTAAGCAACCGTTGTTTGCCTAGCAACCGAACGAGCTCCGGCGCCACACTGGTAGTGTAGTAGCAGTCTTACGACACACAAACAAAATTTCAAAGCCAGCAGCAACGAATCGGCAGTTTGACGGACTGCTTTTTGTATGTACGAGGAACGTTACGAATGACCATCCGAGGCTGTCATAGCCGAACGAACAAAATACATGACTAATGTGGACCGTACACCATTGCTTTTATTGACAATAATCGTATTGTCAATACATTCAATATTGTCGTCAATGCATCGGTATTGACAATATTTCTGTATTCACATCATCAATATTAATGTTAATAATTCCCCTTCGCGTCAATATATTGATACGTGTGGGGTTTGCTTAAGAACGAGCTGTCGTGTACTGCACAAGACGGCAACGTTGCA